ACTGTGATGGCGCGTGTGCACCGCTCTTGACTCTATCGGAACCCCCTGAAATGATTCGAACGTGCTACATTATTCATGTCTTGACCTGCATTGCGCCCGAAAGCGACTTTGGTATCTCACATAGTCAGGTGTGGATTTAGGGTGGGAGGGTATTCTTCATTTATTCGCTGCATCTACAAAGTCGCACCAGATGTAGAGGGCCGTGGCGGCAGCTCAAAGTCAGAGCGTGCGCGCAAACACAGCCGTGAAATCCATCGCTCGTTGACCCAAAAACAATATAGAAAAAAGGCTGTCGTAGGTGCATGCTACGTTGCACTCTCTAGATGTCCTTGGCCTCACCGTCAGCCTCGCCGGACTTGACGGTCTTGCCAGTCTTCTTGATCTTCTCGAGGACGGTGTCGTAGGATAGCGAATCGGCGGCGGTGATTTCGGCGGTCTGGTTCTCGAGCGAGACGTTGTACGACTCAACACCTGTGGAGGAGTTAGAACATGATGCCTGGACCGCCGGCGCATGCTGCATCGGAAACTGACCCTCGAGCTTCTTGAGGACGCGCTCAATAGCGCCAGAGCAGCCGCCGCAGCTCATGGCAACGTTGAACTTGTAGGTGTGCGTCATGATGTACGAGGTTTGTAGGTGGTGTTGGTGATAAAGTCGGAGGTTCAGTGCGGGTCGCGGGGCTGTGATGTGGCGTGGATGTGTTTGTTTGATAACCGCGAAGAGAGGAGCTGTGACTAGTATATATAGGTATCACTAGCGGAAGGACGTTGCGAGGAGCGGATGAGCAAGTTTCAAGATGGTGGTGCAATTCGGCTAGATTGTTATAGATTGCCGTCGCGCCCCGCTGACATATTGAGCCTCCATCACGACATTTCCGGGTTGTGGAACCGCGCGCGCCTCAGCCATGTGTGTGCAATGTCCGTGTCTCGTTTGACATGGCGATACTTTGGCGGCATGAAACATGCTCAGTGAGGGTCCGGGAGCACACGGTTAGGTGTCCTCGCCGGTGCTCTGACATGGGGACACGGTGTCTTGGATGCCGCGACCCGTAAATTGCCATGTCCACGTCTCGCATGTGCTGAGCCCGTTCCTGCAGGTGAATTGCTGAACCCTGAGGCCGCGGCCGCCCCACGTTGGCTAGCGCGGGGCTCAAGCTGCATCCCTCGCACGCCCAGGCGGTTGGGCGGTGACGTCGCCCACTGCCTGTAAACACGGCCAAACATTTCTTGCCCATGACTTTGAGTGCAGCAGCCAGCCAGCAGACGACACAACCCGCACCATGGCCAGCAACATCCTGTTCCTCCCGTTCCGGCGCTCGCACTCTGTGAACCTCACCGACGCCATCAAGCAGTACATATCCTCCAAATATGACCAGCATCCCGACATGTTCACCAAAGACCTCGAGACGATCGAGAAGCTGCGGTCCGTCGCCACCCACGCCCAAGAACCCCACCCGAGCAACATTCCGAAGCTGCAGCAGTACGCCGCGCAGCTGATATGGCTGAGCGGAAAGTTCCCCATCGACATCGGCGTAGAGTTTCCCTGGTATCCTGCGCTGGGATACAACACGAGCCGCCCGACATCGCGCAACAACCTCCGCTTCGAACTCGCGAACATCATGTTCAACCTCGCGGCCATGTACTCCCAGCTGGCCATGTCGTCGAACCGGAGCACACCAGACGGGCTGAAGATGGCAGCCAACAACTTCTGCCTCGCAGCCGGAGTCTTGTCACACTTGAGGAATACTATCCTGCCGGAGCTGCGGACAGAGCCACCCGAAGACATGGACCTCATGACACTCGAGTGCTTGGAAAAGCTCATGCTGGCTCAAGGACAAGAGTGCTTCTGGCAGAAGGCTGTCAAGGACGGGATGAAAGACGCGACCATCGCCAAACTAGCCGCCCGCGTATCCGATCTATACAACGAGGCGGGAGACGCAGGCATACAATCGGACGCTATCAGCAGCGAATGGATACATCATATGACGGCGAAACACCACCACTTTGCGGCTGCTGCACAATACCGCGCAGCCTGCGATTCTCTCGAGAAGCGCAAGTATGGCGAGGAGGTTGCACGGCTACGCGACAGTCTTACGTGTGTCAACGAGGCTCTCAAGGAGCAGCGCTACATCAACAAAGTTGTGCTTGCAGATCTCAACGGCTTGAAGAACCGGATAACGGAGGACCTGAAGCGGGCCGAGAAGGACAATGACATGATCTACCTGTTACCTGTACCACCAAAGGCAGAGCTCAAGATCCTGGATCGAGCCAACATGGTAGTCTCGAGAGTCCCCAAGGAGATAGCCGAGTCCAATTCGATGCTGGGAGAGCGCGGCGAGCTTGGCCCAGCGCTCTTCTCCAAGCTGGTGCCCTACTCAGTACATCTGGCTGCTAGCATCTACGTAGATCGCCGGGATCGATTAGTCAACGGTACCATCGTAGAAGAGCTAGAGTCATTGACAAATAAGATTCACGAGGTACTCCGCAGCTTAAACTTGCCCGGCTCCTTGCAGGCTCTTGAGAAGCCACTAGGACTTCCCCCTGGTCTCGTAGCACACGCTGAAGAGATCCGTCAACAAGATGGCATCAACCGTCTTTTGCGCTCAATGGAGGATACGAAGAAGCTCATGTACACCGACCAAGCTATATATCAAGAAGGTGTCGATATCCTGAGGTCCGAAGCGACAGAGGACGAAGGCGCACGACGCAAGTTTGGCACAGAACGCTGGACACGACCACCTGCAGAGCAAGCAGCGCCTAAGCTCTATGCCCAGATCAACGAAATCGACGGCTACTTCAAGGCTGCTACTAACAGTGATAATATCGTAAAGACAAAATTGAAGGAGAATGAGCACTTCATACGACTGCTCAGTGGACCAGATCACGAACTCGAAAACTATGTCCCGAGCGGCCGGAGACCTGCCATCACTGGCGATGTCGAGCGCGAGGCCGGCAAGCTCCGTGGCAGCTTCAATGAAGTCAGCAGGCTCGAGAGTAGGCGACGGCGGAAGATTGAGGCCTTGCGGACAAAGGCGAAGCAAGACGATATAAGTAAGTCCCGCGCATCCCTACACAAGCCATATCCTGACAGCAGGCTAGATCCGGAGCTGTTGCGCGAAGCTGCTCGCTTAGAACGGGAGTACCCTATGCAGACAATTGAGGCTGTGCAGTTTGAAGGGCTTTTCGACAAGCGTCTTCAGATGTACGACGTTGACCAAGACATGATCCAAGAAGAAGAAAAGGAGCAGGCAGAAGCTATCAAGCGACTGCAAGACGCAAACGCGGCGTTCTTGATCGCTCGTCGTGGCGATCAATCCACCAAGAAGCGTGAGCAAGCGTTGCAAAATCTAGAAAACGCATACTTCAAGTACAAGGAGATTATCTCGAATCTCGACGTTGGGCGAAAGTTCTACAATGACCTAGCTAAGATCGTAAATCGATTTCGGGATGAGGCGCGCACTTTTGCTTACAATCGCAAGTCAGAAGCGTCACATCTAGAAAGGTATGCAGATGCAACGACTAGTTCCAGCGCCTATGCTAATGGTCCCAGCGATCTCACTACTCGAATGAGCTCCCTCGGCCTCCAGCAAGCAACGACAAACTCATTACATCAGCAGAAAGCAGCAGATGCACAAAACCCGCATTATGGTGCGACTGCACATGCGGAAGAACCTTTGGCAGCCCCGACACCCACGAGAGCAAATGTACCCCCGCCGTCTGGTATGTGGACACCAGAAGTTGGAATCCGGTTTGGTGGGGTGCCTACATCATCCGGGAACGCTCGACCTTCTGCTGGTCCTCCACAAGATGGGCGGTGGGACCCTGCACAAGGCCTAAAGTTTGGGTAGATTTGGTGGCCTGAAGCGTCATGCTATTAGCACAAGTAGTATATGGTCGAGATGTGGACCCGATGCACATGCACTTGTGCGGCTCTGCGAAAACACACGATTGGGACCAAATATGCTATTATTATCGTAGCTAAGTAATGCATCTCACAACGTTGTCGAGCATAGGAGCGAGGGCTTGGTTTGTGGGGACATGGGAGTACGCCTTGAGAGAGTGCGCCTTGCGACGTTGGTTCGAGCGAGGCAGTGCAGAGAACGCTCAGTGGGCCTACGGGTAATGACCTCAGGGACGCGACGGCTCGCCGAATGGCCTTCGCGCCAAAGAATCGCGCGGTGTGTGAAATTGGGCCAGTAGTGTTGCCCGTCGGATTGGTCGCCGAGGGTGTGATTCGAACGTTTTGTGACGGCTCGGCATCACTTTGATGTTCTCAAGCGGTGTCGTCGACCGCCCGCCGTAGCCGGCTATTAGACGCTTCACCAATGGACGGCCCGCGTGAATATGCGCAAGCTAAGTCGTTGTATAAGGCTGGGGGCGGAGTGAGCAGTTGAATACAGTGATTCCCCAAGACCGAATGCCAGTAGCGGTCAGCTCTATTCCACCGAACCTAAACCCGCGAATTGCTTTGCGACTATCACGCGACAACGATCCACGCCGGCCAGCGCGTATCTCTCAGGGACTCGCAGCCGCGCTTGCTTGTCGCCATTGCTACCGCCAACGTCCAGCGCCCTCGCCCGCGTTGCTCCCGACGTCATCACCGGCGGGCAGAAGAACAACGCATAACGCATCCCCTAGTTCGTGGTTTCACGTCTCTCAAGAGTCTGAAACCAAGGAACACACAAGGAACTTTGCAGCGGGCTCTCCCATTGCGGGGCTAATTATAGCGGACTAGGCCGCTTCCAGCGCCGTCGCTCTTCGTGAGGTGGGCTGTGTCCTGCGACCGACGACTACACTGCGCCTCCTTCACACTCACCAGCCTCAGCAGACAAGCCAGTAACCCGACGACATTGCGTGTACCTGGAGGATATTCGACCACTCACAGCCGGCCCTTGATTCTTGGTGTCTACGAAGCTCTCCACGTTGGCCCAAGCGCGGCCTCCAGGGCTCCCTCCTCCACATCCCACCTATTCTTGGGCACACGCGAATCCAGCACCTACATCATGGACATCCAACAGCGAGGGCGCTCTCCCTCGGTCGGCCAGCGCATTCATAAGGCGCACTCTCCCTCGCCCAGCCCACATGCGCCCTTCCAGCACCAGCACAACGTCGGCCTGGGCTTCGATCCTGCTCAAGACCCATCCTCGTACGCCGTCACCAGCGCGGGGCTAAACAACACGCACTTCCTCACCACGACCCAAGGCCAACCATTTCCCCAACAGAACACCTTTGCCGACCCAGCTTTCTTCCAAGCTGCGCAGAACATCTCGCAGCACAACACTCCGCAATTCGGCCCCCAAGGCAGCAACATCTCGCCCGACCCACTCGACATCGCCAACTCCACCAACGCCGACTACGCCAACTTCTTCCAGGCCAACGACCTCGCCCAGAACCAATCGCTGCCCTCGTATCTTGGGAACACGCTTGACCCGCACATGCTCGACGGCCAGTCGCAACACAACCAGTCCATCGACCCTTCCGATCTTATGCACCAGATGGCAGCCACACAGCACAACGCGCCTACCCCGCCGCACCTGCTGCCCAACATGAACAACCACCATTCTCCGAGCCCACATGCTTCGCCGAACCTGAACCAAGGCCCTTTCAGATCACCCGGCCATTCGCGACACACGTCGTTGGATCCCAGCGCAGCCTACGGTCAGATCACGGAATGGGGGCAGATGGCGGGCGGGTTTGGCCAGCACAGGTCTAGGTCTAGGGGCAACAGCGATGCTGCGTCCTCTGTACACGCATCGTCGGTGCACAACTCGCCGTACCTGCACCACCAGGACAGCTTGGACAATGAGCAGCCGTCACCCCTCATCAATGCACAGAACGACCCCCAGCTATTCCAGGACCCTGTTCCAGGATTCGACCGATTCAACCTGAACAGCAGCAATGCGCACATGAGCGCGGGTAACAGCCCTCACATCTCACCTCGTCTGCTTCCGACGAATCAACAAGTCCTTCCGCAATTCCAGCCCGAAACCTTTGGTCTCACTCAGAACATGAACCCGTATGCGCCTCCAGACATGAATAGCTACCCAGGTCAAGCTGAGCCGTTCCCCTCACTGAACCAGCCTGTGCCTGAGTTCGGTCAGGCCGACGCCATGTCACCGCCGGAAATCAATATTGACTTTGCACCGCCTTCACGGCAAGCAAGCTTTGAGCCACCCAAGCCCGAGCATCAAATAGATGCGCTGAGCCCGCCAGACAGATGTAAGCAGTCCAATGAAACCTACCAGCCATTTCTAACAGCGAAACAGCACGCAGCCGGAACAGAACTCGCGCCAGATCCGATCCTTTCAGCAGTGCTAGCTCGCGCGCATCAACACCAGGCTCGGACGTGAACCGCTCACTTTCCCCCCACGCTGCCAAGTCTCGTTCCCCTTCGCCCTCGAATAAATCCTCGCGTCGTTCTTCCACATCAAGCGTACCCAATCGCGACTACATCTTGGATCTTGCAGATCCGTCGCGACCTGCGCCCGCGGATGGCTCCAACCCAAAGCGCACACAGAAGCATCCGGCAACCTTCCAGTGCACGCTGTGTCCGAAGCGCTTCACTCGAGCCTACAACCTCCGATCGCATTTGCGCACACATACGGACGAGCGTCCGTTCGTCTGCAGTGTCTGTGGGAAAGCCTTCGCGCGCCAACACGATCGCAAGCGACATGAAGGCCTCCATTCGGGCGAGAAGAAGTTTGTCTGCCGTGGCAACCTCAAGAATGGCAACAACTGGGGCTGCGGTCGACGATTCGCCCGTGCAGATGCTCTTGGACGTCACTTCCGATCCGAGGCAGGCCGCGTGTGTATCCGTCCGCTACTCGAAGAGGAGGCGCGCGAGAAGGGTGAATGGGACGGCCAGAACCAGCAGCTGAACAATGGCAATGGCATGTTCGCACCAATGCCAGCTCAAAACTTTGGTAGCATGATGCCCGGGCAAACTGGCTTTGAGTCGTTCCCTCAGGCTGGGGGCATGCAAGCCCCACAGCCATTCCTGCCTGCTGCCATTCTCGCTCAGTACCCAGCACTCGCGGGCATTCAGTGGGATCAGCTCCCAGCTGGGCCGCCTGACGACGATGGCGATATCAGCGGTCGCAGCAGTTTCGATGCTTCTAGTGGAGGCGAGTACTTTGAAGAAGAGAGCGACTATCAGCAGAGCGGTCAACAGCCCATGTACGCTGGTGGAAACAACAGCGGGTGGGTTAGTGACTCGTACGACGGACGGTAACCGTCCTTCTTCACGCTCTGCTTTCACTGGCGGCCCTCATCTCTTTACGATTCTGCCACGCATTCACGACTTGTTCCTACGAACCATGCGCGCCTGTGCCTTCTGTCACTTCATGTTTCTTGTTTGGATACCACTTTCATTGCTTCGTATGCGCCCAAGGGTCATTGATACCCCCGGATTGGAGACTATCAGGGAGTTTTGTTTTGGAGATTATGGGTTTCGACGCCTGCTTGTAGCCGTCTTTGCTCGGTGGCGTTGTACTGTTTGATTGAGACCAGAGTATATACCACACGAAATGTAGTTTCAAGCCTTCACTTTGATTCTTGGTCGTTTGAGATGTGATGTGACTGGTGCTTTGGCTACGCTGGAGAATTATCCTGATGTTTGTAAGTTTAATCATGCAACCTGGGCCGCCAGACGGAGATCTTGTGTAATTGTTGTTCTAGAAGCGCATGGTTTGCAACGTGTGTTCGCTTGTGTTCCTGTACCGCGTGTTTGTGAGAGCAAGCACAAGAGGGTCTCTAGCCTGGTTACTGAATGCGCGTTTCGTAGGCTTGTGCTTTGCAGAGGCGCATATAGATGGGCAAATTGAAGGACTTCACGTTATGATAGTGGCTAATGCCATATTTTACTAAAGACCCTCAGGGAAGATGCGAAGATGCGCGTTGTAAGCTGTACCAGGTGTTATATGCGTCCTCGTCCCCACGTCTAGAGGCAGCAAACATGCAGAGCAAGAGAAAGCATTTTCTGGAAAATGTGAATTTCAATCTCAGAGTATACAAATGGTGGCAAAAAAAGATGCAGAAAATCACGCAGAGAGTGCGGAGCTTCTGTGAGCTTTGCAGGAGCAAAAAAGGAGAGTGGGCCTGACCGGGATTCGACTTTACAAACGTTAGATACTAAACTTCACATATTGAAGGCTGTGACAACTTACACCCGGGGCCTGTCACATAACAGATACTCTGTATCCAGGATAATTTTCCCGAAGCGACAATCATACCACTAGACCATCAGGCCGACTTTTGTCTTGTTGATGACAAATTCTGAAAGTAAGTGGTCCTAGTACTTGGCTTAACAGCATCTAAAGGACATGGCGGAGACGTCAGAGGTCGCTGGGTAAGTGGAGTCGCGTGGGAATGTTGGTTTGAGATGGCTGGTGCAGATTTGGTACGTGGACATGGTGCGCAGTGGGGCAGTGGTATATCTTAGTCAGGGTGGGACGCTTCTAATCATGGAATTCACAGCCTCACTTTACTCCTTTGGGAAGACTTTGCGAAAGAAATCTCGAACTTCTTGTCGACCTTGACCGTCTGTGCTGCAAAACATTGATCGCACGGATAGCAAGATCAAGCCGCAGACCCAGCACGACATCGAGATGCAGACTGCCCAGCACGACACCACCACAACCAGATTGCATCGTATATACATGCAAGGTCGGCATGCAGGCATCACAAGACCGCGATCTTGACGTCTTGGTAAAACAGAATAGGCTGGGCGCATCTCCTTATCGCACGCCTCATTTGCCCAGTCAAGTGTCACCGAAGCTTATGCGCACTGGGTGGAGAGCCGATCATACAGGCACAAGTATGTCCTGTGCATGGTGACGGGAGGGAGCCGACATCGCTAAACCTATGGCGATCCCCCCTGCAACTGTGCGCTCAACAACTGCTACACCGACATTTTGGCGCCGTTGCGTTCAAGGTGGTCGCCATCACGAACGAACATGCTATGCGTGGACGCTCATCGACTATCATGTTTTCACTTCAATCGAGTGCCGTAGTCATCATCAAGACATCAGACGGTTTATTTGAGCACGCTGCGACCATGATCAAAAGTGCGGGGGAGACGTGCTGGGCATGCTAGAGTGGGTCCCTTCCATTGGTTCGGGCCAGCCCTTGTGCCACATGCAGTATAGTGGGTGCCCCAAGCTCCCTCCCAGCAAGCTCCCATCCACTGAGCACCACGGAGTCCAACGCTGCATCCCCGATGTGCCCACTCGTTATGAAGTGAACAATCCACGAGGGTGTCCTGAGTCGTTGTACAGCACAGCTCACTGACCGCTCTCTGTAGCGATTCCAGAACGAAGGCCAAGGAATCCGAAAGGTGGTCGCCGCTGCTGTGTTGTGAGGCTCGAGGGCTTAGAAAAGGGAGAGCTTCCCCTCACTGTGTCGCGAGCTCAGCTGTCAGTTCCTGTCCTCTCAACATCTGTTCCTGTCTACCGGTTCGCCTGATAGCGCTTCCCATTGCCCGCCGCCTTCCGAAGCTTACTGACGTCCGCATCTTTGCGTCACTGAAACCTTATCGTCTTATAATCTACCACTAATTGCTCGTCTTGCTTCTTTCAAGTACTACTACTTCTTCCTCTCCGCGCGCACTTGCGTTTTGTTCAAACAATCTCCTCATACCTCAACACTACACACATCTTCGCAATGGCCGCCTCAAAACCTAGCGTTCGCATCATCAGCGCCCTCGCCGGCCCCCGCCTTCTGGGCCCTCGTCTCACAGTCCGCCAGCTGTCAATGACAGGTTCGACTGCCTCTTCATCGCTCCTCACAACCGACAAGCCCTATGCCTCAAATCGTTCAGCTGGACCCATCCGCCTTCATGGCGAGCAAACCATCCCAGTCCCCGAGGCTACCGAGACCGGCAACAAAGTCCGCCGCTTTAACACATCGAGGAGTTTAAAGTCCGTTGGCGATTCCAGTACCCTGGACTTTATGCACTTTCCGGAGTTTGACCTGGAGAGCCGAAGCGCGCCCATGGGCATTAGAGTCCCTATCATCCCATGGGCCAACGTTGCCAGCCGCGGTGCTGAGAGCGAGGATTCCGTAAGTCTTGTCCCACTCTCTGTCTTTTTGTTTATCGCGCAAGAGTGCTAATGATATGCTTCCTAGATCCCCATGCAGCCCACAATCTACACTGTCTCCGCCGACGGTACCCACATCCACTCCCCTTCCGCAATGACCGAAGTGTCCGACACAAACCAGTCTGGCTACCAGGGCATCGCTGAGGCTGTCGCCAACAAATTCACCTCGACCCGTGAGGAGGGTGAGGGTATGGTAAAGCAGATCTGGAACGATCTCATGGAGGATCTTGCCGATCTTGCGAGTGGCTCAAAGCGCGGCTCTAACAAGGCTTAAGTGGGGTGTACATACACTGTCATGACTGCCGTCGGCGAACGGCGGTTCTGATGGTTACGTGGGCTTCAGACTGTACTGGACTTCCGATGGCTATCGGGTGGGTCTGGGGATGTTGAGTCGAAGCATGTTTTTGCTTTCTTGGTACTGTGGAATGGAAGGGTCTAGCGCGAAGTGCTCGGGCTTATGAGATCACGAAATACATTTTAATCGCTCTTTGACCAGTGTCTTTGTTTCTTCGTTGCAATGCGCTGGTTTGACTACACTACCTGACCCCCGACCTTTGATTAAGGTGTGCGCGAGCACGGTGCTGATTGATAAGGAAATGTGGAATGACAGCCATCAAGATTGTAAGCGTTGGGTTCTGCCATGGCAATGGAATATACCAAATCCTCTCATCTCAGACCTCCCAGTTCTTCCATCAGTCCACAAAGCGCCCTTACAAGAGGCGGCCCAGTCTCACGATCCACATCCGGGTGTGTGGATTCAAGAAGCATAACGCCCACCTTCATAACCTGCGAAGGAAACTTGAGGTTACAGATTTCGGGCCGAGTGATCGCCCCAGACTCCGATGGCACTGGCTGGTGCGTAGAGATGATGCGAAGGCACGGTATACCGCTATTCGTAGCAATGAAGGAATTAACAACACTAGCCTGGTTATCAGAGGCGGCATCATCAAGGTAGATAACCTTGCCCGGAAGCGAACTCGGCCGTGTGCGCATCGGCGTCGTAGTACCGGTCTTCTTAGCCAGGTCGCGCATCATCATGCTGTATGTCCAGAGGACCATGATGGCATGGTATAACATGAAGGAATCTGGGCCGCGGATCTGATATGGTGGGATTTGTCGCGCAGCTCGGACTACCTGTCCAGCATGCCAGATTGCGACTCTAGCTTCTTTGGTTTGGCTCCACGGTGAGAGGTGAGTGTAGGCGCTGTTGGCAGCGCTCTCACCGCATTTGCCGGCGAAGCGCGTGATTAGGTCGAGGTTGACGTGGAGGTACATCTGCAAGAACTGGTGGAAAAGACAGGTCACGGCTGGATGTTTGCTAGGTAGAAGGTCTTCGCGTTGAAGGTATTGGTATCTGCGGGAGAGTGTCAGCTTCATCGAGTATGAGAGAAGATACACCAACAGTTTTTCCTGACGAGATCGAGCCCAGAGCTGTGAAGCGGCGTCGCTGCTCTCGTTCATCAGCGCAGATTGCTGTGTATACTCCCAAATCTGAGCTGCAATACCGTGTAGATAGGAGGAGTGAGCGACTTGTATGTCGATGTTGTCAGGAAGACAGTGTATGGCAGCTTCGTCTTTCAGAAGTGTTTGCAGTGAGGGAGCGCTGGCGACGACGTCCATGTCAAGATAGCGCGTTCGCCATGTCTCTGCTGAAGGTGCCAACCACAGCGTCTTTGAGGCAGGCAACATGAGCGTAAGTTCAGCGTAACTGATCAGTGGCGGGCGATGCTTCGCCATAGTCATGTGAATGTCGTGCTCGAACAAGTGATATACCAACCTGTCTGTATTAGATGCTGGGTAAAGAGAGTCCACTGTGTCTGCCATACCTCTTGTAAGATTCTTGCTCCACCCACTGCTTCCACTTTGCATGTAGTTCCTCGTCGCCATCCTCGGCAGACGGTGTAACTGCAGGATACCGGATGTGATCGAATCTACCGGCGCGCCGTAGTGCCTATAGAGTCAACGTGTGTTGCACTATCGTACTAGAGCTTCTTACCGTGACAAGAGATTGCAAGCTACTCTCCGCGATTTCCATCTTCCTCCTGTACCCACAGAAGGCCCCGATGTCAAGCCAAAGCATTGAAGCTTGGAGGTATTCAAGGTCGCGTATCACACTGTTATCATTCTCGGACTG